TTGGGCTTTCTTCAAAGCATGAACACCAAACCTGTATTTCTCTGCAAGTACTTTAGTAAGTTACAGTTAGTGTGCACTCTAAAGTTTTACGTAATTCAGAGTGGAATTCTAAGTAAGATTTTTAAAGAGAAGACACTTTAATCCATTTTCAGATAGCCATCTTCGTCATTCCAAGTGTGACATTTTCTTCTTTGCTGTTCGCAGTTACTGTCACTTTCGCATACATACAGACAGGACGATGTCCAATGTGCCAGTGGCTGTGGTGACCGGGTCCAACAAAGGGATCGGATTTGCAATTGTGCGGGCTCTATGCAAGCAGTTCCCAGGGGATGTGTACCTGACAGCCCGAGACCCTGGCCGTGGCCAGGAGGCAGTGGCAAAGCTCCAGGAGGAGGGACTGCGTGCGCTCTTCCATCAGCTGGATATCGATGACCTGCAGAGCATCAGAGCTCTCCGTGACTTCCTAAAGGAGAAATACGGAGGGCTGAATGTGCTGGTTAACAATGCAGGGATTGCTTTCAAAGGTAGGAAGCAGACTGACTGGGATAGTACTGTGTGCTACAAAGCTATGTGGAGAAGGTATGTGTGAAGATGCATCAAGGATTTTACAAAGCTTCTTGTACAGGACTTCTGTGCTAACGGCATGCTGCTTTTTTGGATGGGCAAGCTGCCTACCTTCTTAAGCATGATGAGAGGGCAATGTGAAAAGGCTTTTCCTCTGGCATCTGTTGGGCTAACTGTGCATGTAAAGACACTTCCCTGGAGTATTGCATTTGCATCACATTCAGAACATGAAAATACTTCAGGCACACAGTGCACGTGAGCAGAGTTGGGTTTATTGCCTCAGTGCCCATGAGTTTCACCAGGCCCATGGGAGCCCATCATCTGTGTTAATATCAGCCATGTTCCTTGGGGATCTGTGTTTTCTCTCCTGGACAAGCCCCATACTTTGTTCTGTGTGTTACCTGATCAAGGATTCCAGTTGATAAAAAAGAACCTTTGGCCCTGGGTGATTTTGTTACCTTTGTTCATCTTTAACTTTCTCAGGCCATTCAGTTATCTGTAGAACAGTTAACCTAAATCTTGCTGTGCTGAGCAAGAATTTAACCCTTTCATCTTCTAGTGGACAGGAAGGCAGGGAAGGTGAGGAAGACAGCAATTGTAAGGTAGAAGAGTGCATTCTTCTTGTAGGTGTTTTTATAAACAAATTGCAAATCATGTTAGCTCCAGATATAACAAATCACGAGCATGACTACTAGGTCATTTCCCTGTCGGTACAAACTTGTTCTTTCCATATTTGGGGGGGGTGGGAGGGAGGGGCATGGGTTTATTTTAATCTCTTTGCCTGATTTCTAGTTAGGACACGTAACTGTGCAAGCACAGCATTGTGCTGACTCCTCTGCTCACGGCATGAGTTAATGAGGCCTGTGAGGTAGTATGGATCAAACATCACCTGATGCTGAAGGTGGAGCTTCTCATGTAGTGGGAGTGCAGCAATGGTGTTCTGAAGTCAGGTCACTGTATATTTTGCATGGTACTTTGCAGGAAGATTGCTTGTGTTCAAAATCAGCTTAATAGAAGGCAACTCTTAATATAATTGAGCTTCAGGATATGCTCAAGATAGAGAGGTGTTAAAACCTTACAGTAACAGTTAAAATTGTATCTCTCTCCATGCTTATCATTTATAAAGCCTGAAGGTGCTCAGACCTGTATTTCTTCAATTCATAATTGGGGCTTTAGTTTAACCTACTAGTGACAGTGAGTTAGCACAAGACTGGGCTGCAGCTACAGCAATTGAAGTGCACTGTGTGTTTCCTGTTACTGACTGGGCAGCAGCTGTAGCCTCCATCAAGGTGGGTACCTGGACAGGTGAAATAAAAGCTCTTCAAATTGCTGCAGCAAGATTTACTAGAGCTCATCTATGAGAGATCTTAGATTTATTATCGTGGAGGCACTGAACAGATAAATAGGTAAAATAGTGTGACCAGTGGAGTTCCTGTTAACATCCTTTACTACACCATAATTCCATTTATTTTTTTTATACAGAAGTTGCTTCCAGATGTTTAGCCTAGACTTTCTTCAAGCTGACAACTTACTGTGAGTCAGCAGTAAGTCATACCATTAAGAAATGTGATAGAGGAACTGGTTATAACTTGTGTAATATCTAGCACAGAGGCTGCAGGGTTTAACACCTGTGCAAGAACTTGCTGTGATGCTTATCTCATGTTCTGGCTTTAATTCTTGCTTCCGAGATTGACATGTCTACCCAAGCTTGCTTCTTGCCTCACCAGGTTACTGCAACCATCGCAGATTTATGCTTGCCTTTCTTTATTGTAGTACTGTGTCACTGCTGTCTGTCAAAGATTAGATTTACCATTCAATTTAATTTATTGTTCAGTTTTTGTGCTGCACTACTGATAGTCCATCAAAGTCCTTAGTCCAGCAAAAACCATTCATGTATGAAATGATTATGTACCCATGGGTTGCCTTATGGATGAGCTCTGTGAGAACACTTGTTCTAGTAATGCTTATTAAATAAAAGGAGTGTGTATCTATCAGATGTTACAAGTAATATATCTTGTTGGACAGATGAGTGGGTTTTGGAGTGCAGGGA